CACTTGGGTTGTTACCGACATCTGGTGAAAATTTCATGTCATTAGCACCTCTAGTAATATATTTACTGAGAATAATGTTGACGTGTTCAATACTTATTTTACCCGCTGTATGCACGATGTACAAGATGTGTCTGTAATGTCACATTATTAGGACAGCTGCTGATTCCGTGCACCAGACAAGGTGCCCTCTTTTTACATTTGAACACCTGCCCCCAAAAATGTCTGTGCATGCTACTGCTCACTGGATCATTGTATGGCTGTGCCCATCTGTTTTTTGTGACTCTATGCCTCTCTTTGTAGTTTTGTAGTTTTGCTGCTATGTCAGCCATTTTTTAAATTTTATTTAATAAAACTTTTATTTTTGAGCTCCTCGTGTCAGCTTTCTCTTGGGTTCATTCACCAGCCGAACACAACATCGCTTACGAGGCGCCCCACTCGAATGGGTTTTTATCCATCCCCACTCACCATAAACCAAAAGCCTCAGACACACAGAGTTCAGATTTTAGGTGATGACAAGATAACAAAAATAAGAGTTATATGTTATAACTGAATCTAATAACACTGATATAAATGATGTTATTAGTTTAATCACAGAAACTGCAATGTAGAGATGTAGACAGTGTCAAGACTTGACGTAGTGAAGTTATTATTAAAGATGTTTTCGTAAATCATTTGTGTGGCAGATGGAGCTGAGCTCTCATTCCTCATAAATTCAGTTTATTTTTGTATATTTTACACACATGGACAAATTTGTCGGTCCGCCTCATTTAATGAAACAAAAGCCCACAATGGTCACAGAAATTGACTATTGCGCAACCAGCGGGTGCTATACGTATCCTCGTAGCAGGAGGCAGTGGTGGYCACAAGCCCACTAAAGTGCAAATCTGCTAATTGCGGACCTAAATATTTCATTTGRGCCTTAGCGGACTTACTCATTTTTATAATTCATAAACAGATTTGCGCTTTCTAAAATTAAAATGCAGTACTGCTAATAACTAATTATCTACCATTCATCATTATCTTGAACAGCAGAAGGTATGGCTGTCAATGAATCACAACACACGTGATCTACCCAGATAAACACACTTATTGGGAAGGTATACATCTTCCTGACTGTCACTTTGAGCCACGCTTCTGATTTCCCACAATGCTTTGTGTCTGCTTACGTAGCAGGAAGGCAATAGCAAAAACAGTAAACGTTTGTAATCCATGCTAAAATTTTGTATGTATTGATTTATTTTACTTTACAACGGGAGCTCCWTTTTTTTTAAAATGAAAAGTTTAAACGCTGGAGCTCAAAAGCAATCGGCTAACGTGTTAGAGACTCAGAAATGATTTAAAGATGTTATGCTGGTGAAGAATGACATCAACTGGAGCAACTACATGGAAAACGTCATAATCCAGGTAGAAAAAAATCAAAACGAAAAATTAAGTTGGTCCTCTCGATGGGTTCTTCTTTAAGGAAACGTTTTGTCTCTCCTCGAAGAGACTTCTTCTGTTTGATGAGTTTCAGGTGAACTTGGAAACTTTAAAATCCAATGGAAACATGAAAAACTTTAAAATCCAAGCTCTTATTTTGAAGGGAAGATAGTTTCCTGTTCCCCGTGCTTTCGTTTCCCGTCAGTCCGTCGTGTACCCAGAATGCATCGCTTCAGTTTTCCAATGGAAACATGAAAAACTACTTTATTGATGCTCTTATTTTGAAGGGAAGCTTGTTTCCTGTTCCCCATGCTTTCTTTTCCCGTCAGTCCGTCGTGTACCCAGAATGCATCGCTTCAGTTTTTCAATAGTTTTAAAATTACTTTATTGATGCTTCTTTAATGAAAAATCTACAACAAACAAAATAAAACGACAAAGAAGCAGCCGAACTAGCAATCCTCAACAACTTTTTAATTTTTACACCAGGAGCNGTCGTGTACCCAGAATGCATCGCTTCAGTTTTCCAATAAACAGTTTTAAAATTACTTTATTGATGCTTCTTTAATGAAAAATCTACAACAAACAAAAGAAAAAGACAAAGAAGCAGCCGAACTAGCAATCCTCAACAACTTTTTAATTTTTACACCAGGAGCCAAAGTTCTGTTACAGGAAACCAGATCCCCAGCAATCAACGGTTGTAGGATTAAGTTGTACAAGGATTCATACACCACTAGTTGGCAGTATTGTGCATATTGTACATGAATTGTCAGCTATTAAGTGTCAAATTGAACAGGCGGTTTAAAATTAGCTTCCGCTAATTTTTCTATGACATAAGCATTTTTGAAGTTGCGGACCTAAATATTTTCATAAGCAATTTAGAAATTGCAGAGCTAAGTTTTGGATTAGCGCTGCCCACCACTGGCAGGAGGCTATATCTATTCCTAAGCCAGCTATTGATCTGATTGATGATAGGCCGGCAAAGGTAACAGAGCAGCTGGTCCCAGTAACTGAGAGGCCGGTGCTAGCAAATGAGAAGGAGACTATTCATTTGTGTTAGCATCAGAGGGGCTAGCGACTAGCACGGATAAGCTACAAATGCGGCCAACAAAACCCCGAAAACCTAGGCTGCACCTAAGTATTCTATGCGGCCGACGGTATTCCAGAATTCATTGCGCCATCAGCAAATTAAACAAACAAACGGCAAAGMTTTTTTTTTTACAGCAGTTTTTTTATGATGAAGTTTGGAAATTTATCATGGACTGAATAATGTAAGTTAAACAACTTAGCTGAAGAAACTTTTGTTGCAATGAGATGTTAAACAAAATGCAGTTACAAGCACTCATACTAGAGTTAAACCCAAATTATTAATGCTTTTTATTTATTTATTTACTTGTAAAGCTTTAAATTAAAACAGAATTTTGTTAAGTTTTGAATTGAGACACAGCCATAGCCTCCTGCTACAAGAATATAGCAATCACTGGTTGCGTAATAGTCCTAATTTTGGCCCTCATACCGTGCCTTACTTTTGAACCATGATTCAAAAGAACAAAAAAATAAATAAAATAAAACTCATGAAACAGGCCTGGGCAGAAATGATGGTACCCTTACCCTAATATTTTGTTTTACAACCTTTTGAGTCAATCACTGCAATCAAACGTTTCCTGTAACTTTTAATGTGACTTCTGCAGCTCTCAGCAGGTATTTTGGTCCACTCCTCATGAGCAAATTGCTCCAGTTGTCTCAGGTTTGAAGGGTGTCTTTTCCAGACAGCATGTTTCAGCTCCTTCCAAAGATGCTCAGGATTTAGGTCAGGATCATAGAAGGCCACTTCAAAATAGTCCAATGTTTTCCTCTTAGCCATTCTTGGATGTTTTAGCTGTGTTTATGTTCATTATCTTGTTGCAAGACCAACGACCTGCGACTGAGACCAAGTTTTCTGACACTGGGCAGCACATATCTCTCTGGAATCCCTTGATAGATAGTCTTGAGATTTCGTTGTACCCTGCACAGATTAAAGACCCCCTGTGCCAGATGCAGCAAAGCAGCCCCAGAACATAACAGACCTCCTCCATGTTTCACAGTAGGGACAGTGTTCTTTTCTTCATATGCTTCATTTTTCTCTCTGTGAACATAGAGCTAATGTGCCAAAAAGTTAAATTTTTGTTTCATCTGTCCAGAGGACATTCTCCCTAAAGCTTTGTTGTTTGTCAGCATGTAGTTTGGCAAATTCCATTCTAGCTTTTTTATGATTTYGTGTCCTCCTTTGTCGTTTCCCATTAAGTCCACTTTGGTTCAAACAATGACAGATGGTTGATCTGACACTGATGTTCCTTGAGCTTGAAATTCAACCTTAATCTCTTTAGACGTTTTTCTGGGCTCCCTTGTTATCATTTGTATTAGCCGTCTCTTTGATTTGTCATCAATTTTCCTCCTGCAGCCATATCCAGGGAGGTTGGCTGCAGTCCCCTCTGGATCTTACAGGTCTGAATAATATGTGCAACTGTAATCCACACCATGTCACCAATCAGCACAGCTACAGCCCTGTATCCAGACCCACTGACTGATTACAAGATTGTAGACACCTGCGATGCTAATTAGTGGACACACCTTGATTTAGCATGTCCTTTTGGTCACATTATTTTCGGAGGTACCATCATTTCTGTCCGGGCCTGTTTTATGAGTTCTTTGTTTTATTTTATTTTTTATTCTGTTGAAGCATGGCTGAAAAGCAATGACTGACTTTCATTTGTTAATTTTTATAGAATTTTTATTTATTATTACTAGTGATGGATAAACCGAGGCTTTCTGAATGACTTAATCAATATGAATCAATTGTGCTGAAATGACTGTTCCGAATCATTTGAAACATTTAAGTGTTGCTCTATCTGCTGGCCAACCCTTAACATTACAGCTGCATGAAACAAAGAAGGACAAACCATGTCGTGAACCAGTCAGCCTCTGTTCTGTATAATAAAGCTTCTACATGCATCTTGAACATTCTGACTGTTTTCTTTAGGAACAATAATAAAATATTACAGTAAAATGCAGCTGTGCRGTCACAAATGACGACAGGTGCTGCTCTGTGAAGCAGCTCTGATCTTATTTATATAAACCTGGAGCTTATTGTTGATAATTATTGCTTTCCTTAACTAAATATTGCCTGTAAATAAAAGTCTAGTAATTATCTTATGTATCTTATGTATTGTTTTTATTAATCAAAGCATTTTACTACAGTTTATATATTAATAAAAAAACACCCAAGATTCAAACTCACTTCTCTCGTGTGGGAACCATGTATGTCATCACCTACTCCAACATGATCACACAGCAATTCTGAAATATCTGTTATTTCATTTTTAAAAACACTCTACACAACTTTCTTACACATACTGATACCTAAAACAGAAGTTAATTATTTACAGGAATATTACAGAAATACTATTTGGCAAGAAATACTAAATCACTAAAAAGTATTTTAAAATAAGGAGTAAATTGGAAATGTTCATGCAGTGTGTGTGTTTGTCTGTGTTGGGGGGGGGTGTCAAAGATAATTTTTATTTAAAAATAAGATTATTTCAGCTCAGATGGTCAATCTGTTGCTCGTCTTTGCTGCTACCTCTCCAGTTTTGACGACTCCTTCACGTGGCACCTCCCCTTAAAAAAAGCACTGCTTTAACATGAATCAGGTCCTTTTTTAAAAGTCTTGAGTTGAAACAGTTCAACACCGGTGTGACGTAACGAGGCCTCGTTTAGAGTAGTCATGTGATCATGAGTGTGCTGAAGCAGCGCTCGAAACACCATCTCGCGACACTTCTGCTTCATTTGCTCGAAACATTGTCAAGGAGGAGGTGTCGAGCGTAACATCACTAACTGTTACTTTTGTCAGATTCTAGTTATTTCTGTGACCATTGTGGGTTTTTCTTTGATTAAACAAGAGGTACCAACAATTTTGTCCTCGTGTATATATTCACTACAAAAGTCATGTCAGTGTGCTGTGCCAAAAAACAAAACAAAAAAATAAGTCAAATCAAAAATGCAATTCAGATAAAACCAGCTATAGTCAGTGAAATTCCAATAATAATACAAAACATTCACATCCAGTATAAACTGAGATGTAATTTAATAAAAGTTATGTATCTAAGGTAATCAGCAGATCACTTTCCTCTGCCTCAACCATCTGCAGTCTGAGAGGACAGGAGAGACAGAAACAGGACGATGGGTTCAGGTGTTTGTCCAAAGAATATATTACAGACAGCACTATTAAAGTACTCAGTAATCATTTGTACTGAAGTTCTGTTGTTTAGCTTGTGTGTTTTCAGTACAGTAATAAAGTTAGGTTTTCTTAAAGGTGTGCATGTCTAACTGATGTCTGAACAGGTTCGTATAGAAAGTGTCTGTTTAACTAAAAGAATGTGCTTTTATTCCTGCAGCTGAAGTTTATGTGGGGTAACCTGGCAGTGGGATCTGGGGAACGTTGGAGGGAGGTGTCTGTTCCCTTCCTGCAGCCAGGACAGGTTTGTTCTACAGTGTCTTCATGTTTCTGAAGCTTTAACTCAGATTAGATGATGTCATGTTTTTGTYTGCTCAGGTTGGGATTGTCAGTGTAGCTCTGTGTTCTCCTGCTGCTGAGGGCTCCTACACCTCCCACTGGCGATTGTCCCATGATGGAGAGCAGTTTGGACCCAGAGTGTGGTGCAGCATCCTGGTGGACCTGCTGGCTCCTGCACCCATGTTGGCTGATGGGATCTTTGTATCACCCTGTGTCACACCACAGGTCAGACACCGACAGCCTTTCTATGTTTGTCACGTACAGTAGGGTTAGCAGATAGGCCGAACGACCATCATTAGTCCAACTATCTATGTGTGTTTATATAGGTGTGTGTGTTTGTTTTGTAGACATTTGTTGTGTTGTTTTTCATGCTCAGAACCTGGCTGTAAAGGAAGGGAAGGTCCATGCAGCTTTACTGTCAGAGGACCAAGAAGAGTTCTACATCCCATCTGTAGACCTGCTAACTGCCCAGGTAATCAGTTCTGTGTCAGTAAAGCTGCAACTCTATCATACAGAATGATTCTAACAAACAATCAATCATTTACACTCCTGACAAACGTGGTTTTAGAGTTCGAGTATGTTTCAATACATTTCCTTCAGTAATGGAAGTTATGCATTCCTCTAACCATGAGCACAAGGTCCTATTCATGTAGGATTATTATTACAACGTATTTTTGAATTGCTCTTTACAGCTGTGGAACGATTTCTGCAACATATAACTTCAATGATTTTAAACACAAAAGTTGGATTAGGATTAGGGGAATATGATAAACAATAATTTATTGTGGCTTCTCTTAAATCCACACAAGATAATTTTCAGGAAATGTCATTTGATATTATTGTTTTGGTACAATATTTATAGGTATGAAAGCCTCATCTGGACTCCTCCAGTCATACTTCTCATCATCAGTCTGTGCCTTGTTTGATCATAAAAGTTTTCTCTAACATCTGTCTTGTTCATGTGTGCAGCTGTAAATTTCAGTTTGTCACCTTCCATGGTGATGTAAACCTGTCTTCACCATATACAGGATGGGACACTGGTGTTCCAACATGGTAGGCTTGAACCTTGGTGGTCCCTGGGTTGTTCTTGAACATCCTAAACAATTTTCTGCAACCTAAAAGGGACAGATGAGTATTGGTTAGTCCAGTGGTTCCCAAAGTGTGGGGTGCGCCCCAGTGCCATTGCAGGTGGGGGGGGGGGGTGGCTTGACTGAATATAGGGGAAGTGGAGGGGGGGGAATGTTCAGATGTTGTTAGTATAATGGACAGGCTTTTGATGGAGATTTATTCTTAATCAACAAACCTTTATTTTTTTCCTCTCAGGGTGTTGTTCATGTTTAAAAACCCACTTTGCACAGAAATACTTTTTTAAGTTTTATTGAAGCAATGTTGAATATTTTCACAAAGATAAAAACACATTATACTGAAATAATTACTGTTAAGATGTTTTTTAAGTGGTTGTAATTTCTTGCAATCTGTTTTTTTTTTCAGTTTTCTTTCATTATTTCAAATTGTTAAAGAATATTTTGTGGTGAGAAATAAACTGAAACGAGTTTAAAAACAAAATATCTGTGTATGTGGTTGGAGATAGTGTGTGTGTGTGTGTGTGTGTGTGTGTGTGTGTGCGCGTGTGTGTGTGCGCGTGTGTGTGTGGACGGGTTTTTCCAACAATGTGGTGTATTTTTTACAAAAAAAAAGCAGCCAGGTGGGGACCGAAGTGAATCGTGGGGACCAATGTCAGGTCCCCACGGGTCCAAATGCATGTTACAGGTGTGGGGTTAGGTTTAGGACNTATAAACCAAAGGGGGGCCCATCAGAAAAAGTTTGGGAACCACTGGGTTAGTCCAACAGGTGCTGTGAAGCAAAACGATGATCCCTGAAGAGAATCCAGTAGGCCACAGTTTTGTCAAGCTAAGACCTTATAGAACCGAGAGACAAAGAGAACCTTGAGATATTTGAGCCTGTATGTATACTTTTGACCTTGTATTGATAAAAGAAAATCTGCAGTAAATTCAGACTTTTTCACCAAACTGCTGTTTTTTAAAAATCATTGCATGTTARATGTTCCTAAAGAGTTAAAAACCAAAAACGAATATGACTACCGTGTTCGTGATGAGTGCACGTAACTTTTTGACCATGACTGTATGCTGTTATCTCTGTCACAGCTTGGTTTTTATGCATTCATTTTGTTTGTTTGGCCAGTTTTTTCACGTTTGGATTTCTTAGTTTCTTGCATTTTAGTATTTTAGGGTGCATCTCTGGTCTTTGGCCAGTATGACATGTACCTTGGAGCTAGGCCTGGGGAGAGACTTGTTAGCAAGTGTCAACGGAGAGGCCTGGGGTTATTGGCCTCTATCTATGAGGCCTGGTCTAGCTCGGTCCAAATGAACAACATGGATTCACCTTCCTGTAGGGTCCACCACCTGCAAGAGGGGCAATACGTGTTGGGCGTGAGTTTCTATGGGCACCAGCTAAAGACAGTGTTCTTGGCGCTTACAGAAGCTGGTACTTGGGACATGGTCGATCACCTCTCTGTTGGAGAAGGAAACTTGTCTCATGCATGAAGTTGAGAACTTATTATATTTATTGCTAAATCTACAGACAAATGAATACACACAGATGCAGGCAAACACATTGTTGCCCTGTCACCTTTGGCAGCAGAAGACAAAGACAACAGTTGAACTTCAACAAAACTTAAAATGGTTGCTTTTTGTTGCTTATCCACCAGGATCTTCTGTCGTTTGAGTTGTTGGACATCAACATTGTCCAAGAGTTGGAGTGTGTCCCGAACAATAGCCCTGCTGGTAAGGACAGTTTCCTTCAGTGACTGATGAGGTTTAAAACCACAGCATGAGAATTCTGTATGCTTCTCAAGGCTTTGCTTTCCCAAACTAATATAAAATGATAAAGGGATGATCCACTCATACCTGCAGTGATGTTCTGTCTAATAGTCAATAGTACCTTGTCAGCTGTGACACCAGTCAGAGTTTGGAGAACACCTGGCAAAGGAACCTGTCCAAAGGATGTTCCACTCTGACCTCCAGAGAGCTTCAGCCACATTCCAGCGTAGGCAGAGGACATTYAGTCAGAGTGGGTCACGTTCTACACATCTTGGTTCTTCGTGCACCTTAGAGGGAGGGAGTCTGGTTCAGTGACGTCAGGTTTCCAGTTCTGCTGTTTTCAGATGATGGTCCTGTTGGTGTCATTGTGCCATGATTTTCAGCTCTCATTGGAGCCGTTCACAGCTGGGATGAGGATCAGCACCGCCGAATCTGAGTCCATAATCCTCAGTCGAAACGAGGTTGATTGCTCTCTCTTCAGGTGGGGGTTTTGCCTCAAGCGGAGGGTTTCAAGTATCTTAGGCATTTGTTCACAAGTGAGGGAAGAATGGAGCATGAGATTGACAGATCTGTGTAGCTGTAGCTTCTGCAGACCGTTGGTCTGTCTGCTTTGTTTTAACACAGACATACAGACATTGTTCAGTTCCTAACCAGGGACAAACTAAACAAATGATGTAATGCAAAAGTGTAGAAATACTTTAACTCCTAGTTTTTTGTTCTTTCGCACTGGTCTGTCATTCTTGAGACAGTGTTTGTCTTATGAGCTTGAAAAAAAACTGGTTGTGTTTTAACCTAGACTGAATGAAAACGTCTGCACTGCTKTTCATACTTTGTGCCCTTTGACTGACACGGTACTAACTACTGATGACTAACATTCAGAACATCACTTCAYCAGTAACCATACTATCCCTTTAATGTTTGGTTTGTCTCATTACAATTTTTATTGACTGGTTTGACCTGTTTGAAGGAACTGGGAACCTCTCAGTCTTCATCATCACCATCTCAGCAGAGCAGAAGACAGCTCTTGCAAATGTGTTAACCCATTCTCATTGGATTGATACAGTTTTCGCACACTTTTGCAAAACAGTTAACGCAGATGTCATTCAAGAAGTCCAMACTCCCTTTTAGCTGTCAGTATGAAACAACGAAAGCACCAGTTTGACACTTCTTCGCAGAATTTTTCAATTTGCAATCAGTCTGCAGGCCTGTGTTGTTATTTGCAAGCATGGATCGAGGAGGTCTAAGGCAGACTAGAAGAGACAGAAGAGCATCACTTGTGGCTATCTCTTTATACTCATAGGCCTACTATAGATTTTTGATCGTTACTGGAAAAGACTGTTTTTTATTTACATAATTTTTCTCACACAGTAAAGGATTTTATTTTTATTTCCATGTATTCTCTGTTGGAATATTTTACTTGTCAGGCACAGTCTGAAAAAAAAATGTAATCAATTAAATTTGCATCAAAGCATATCTGCTACTGGATGCATTTTTGCAAGAGGGCAAATTTGACTACAAACGGCACTGGCATGTAAGCTACGTACAGTCATAGGCTACAATGACAACCAATGGTGCACTGATTCACACTTGAGTGCTATATTTTTGTATTTTGTTGCCCATTGTGTACTAATTGTTTGGAGGTGCTCATACATTGTGTCAAAGTTGAGTTGTTTGAAGGCAAAATTTGCTTTTGTTCCATATTTTAAATGTTTTGACACAATTGTTGCCTTTTGCAAACAAAATGTGTCATTTTGACCACTGTGTCAGTGTTTAGGCCTCTGCGTTAACCGTTTTGAAAATGTGGTTTTTGAGTTGACGGCTGCGTCAAAACACTCAATAAAAACTGTAATGTAGTTTGGGACAGCAGATGCAACAGTTTCTGTTTTGCAGTAGCTCGAATTAAAGTGTTTGCATGAACGCCTTCCTAACTGTCACGAACATATCTTACCTGAYTTAAATTGTTTTTGTTGCACTCAGAAGTGACTCCCTGCATATCTCCTCCGACTCAAGATGGCCAGCTGCTCAACAAGAGTGACCCGTTCATGGGCCTGACCCAGAAAGAGTCTGARGTCAGTCACAGCAAACTGGGTACGAATGTTTTTTTATTAAAGGACAAAAATGTTTTTATTGAAATATAAAGAGCTCAATACAGCAGTACTTATCTTTTTCTCTCATAATACAAACCAGCACAGTGGAGCAGTGGTTAGCGCTGTTGCCTCCCAGTCTTTTTGTTTTTTTACATGTTCTCCTGTTCACGTATGAACTTTCTATTAATTTCTCATTAAAATCTTAATGCAAAATAAATTCAGGTTTAATTTTCAATTTTTTCTTGTCGACTGCCCTCCTCTTCTGGGAACAGTTTTATTTTATTATTGCTTGTATTTTGTAGACGTATTTTTTAAATCAACTGCAGTTTTGCTATATTTTATACTGTATATCTGGTCGGATCTGTTTCTTTTCTTTTTGATTCTGTTTTAATGCCATGACAAAAATGTCAGGCTTAACACCAAAGACATTGATATAAATATATTTGTGTTAATCAATAAGTGTGGTAAAAACCAGTCAAAAGGACTCATGTAATCCAAAGTGATATTTATTATACAAGCGGTTTGCAGGAGTCTTTTGACAGGTTCTTGTATTTTAGATGTTTGTTTTCTTGTTTCTATCCCAGGAAAAGTTGAGCAGTCATGTAATCAGAGAATATCTGAGCCTGAAGTCAAAAAGACAGAGGAAGAACCAGAGGAGGAGAAGGAGGAAGCAGCAGAGAGAACAAAAGAGAGAACAAGAAGTTGCTCCTCCTCCAGTTCTTCTGAGGATTACATCATCATACTTCCTGACTGTTTTGACACCAGTCGGCCTCTGGGGGACTCCATGTACAGGTAGGAGCATAGACCTGAATAAGATCACTAGACTGAGTCCCGCCCATKCRGTCCACTGGTAACATCTGTGACAGCATGGAGGAGCAGAAACTGACCAAACAGGACAACAGCTTACAGCCACCATAGAAACTGATAGATAAACAGCAGCTGAACTGGATCTGTTTCACAGATTATCTGTCATGTTTTTACCATAAATTAATAATTATGTTCATTTCATTTAACAATCATGTAAAACAGCAGATTTATACCAGAAAAATATATAATTTATAAGTAACAATGATCTAAACCAGACCTGAAGTCTGCCTGTAACTTAGACTTTAGCTAGCTGAAAAATGATGACTTCAGCTGTAATAAAGTATATTTATTATTTCTTCTCACTGTCATAAAAA